CCTCGGGGAAGAGCAGAGGCGGTGGCATCTGTGTGTTTGTAATTAAATGACCGCTGGTGTAGCAATACGACAGTTAAAGGAGAACTCCGGCGCAAAATGAACCTTTGGTCTAATAAAACATTGGTACCTAGTCAACCGTTTTCTGAGATTTGTTTTTATGATAATCGCATGTAAAGAGTTTTATCTCTAAAAACTGAGATAAAAAACTAAAAAAGTTAAAAACTAAAAACTTAAAAAGAGATAAAACTCTTTACATGCGATTATCATAAAAACAAATCTCAGAGAACGGTTGACTAGGTACCAATGTTTTATTAAACCAAAGGTTCATTTTGCGCCGGAGTTCTCCTTTAAGTTTGAGACCTTTCTATCTACCCAGAGAGTTTGGGAACATTTTGATTTGTGTTGTGTATGTCCCTCCGTCGGGCAAAGCAGCAAATGCCGTGAGCATCATAAGAGACTGTATTCAAGTCCAACTTCAACATACACCTGGAGCTCCTGTTTTTATTCTCAGCGATTTTAATCATTGTAAAATGGAGTCTGCTCTCTCTTTGGTATGAACAGTATGTTAAAGACAATACAAGACATAATAAGATCCTAGACAAATGCTATGGGAACATAAAAGAAGCATACACTTCAAGATCAAGGCCTCCCCTGTCAAACTCTGACCACAACACTATATATAAGACCAACATATAAGAGTTTAAAAGACACAAACCTGTGATTAAGAGCGTTAATGTGTGGTCGAATGACATTGTTGAATCCTTGAAAGGTTGTTTTCTTTGTACTGATTGGGAAGTTTTTCATAGCGATGATATTGATGAAACTACCACGGTAACGACAGATTATATAAAATTTTGCACTGATAATGTAGTACCCAAAAAAGAGGTGATCACTTACGCTAACAATACGCCCTACATAACTAAGGAAATTAAAAGCTGTATTAATAAAAAGAAACTAGCCTTTCGTAACCAAGATCGTCCCGCAGTAAGTCTGGCACAGAAGGAATTGAATGGACTATTGAGTGAGGCCAGGAATAAACAAAGAGCTTCTGGATAACAAGCTAAATATGTCTCACCCTAAACAGCTTTGGGATTCTATGAAATCCAGAACTAATATGCAGCCTTCAAGGAAATGTGTATCTACTCCTGATGATCTACAGAAAGCCAATGATTTAAATAACTTTTATTTAGGATTTGAGAAGAGCAGCCATACTCCTGTAAATAGCATTAGTGATATGGAGCCTTCTGGTGTTTTTAAAGAGAAGTTGCTGATTGATGCTAATCAGATCAACTACTACTTTAAACACATTTGTCCTAAGAAATCGGCAGGCCCTGATGGAATTTCAGCCTACATTTTAAAAAACTTTGCAGATGAACTGACTCCAGTATGGCTCCCTATATTTCAACAATCTTTGGATACCGGTATTGTTCCTAGCTTTTGGAAAAGGGCTGTGATCATTCCGGCTCCGAAGATAGTCAAGCCCGTAGAAAATGATTTTAGACCAATCGCGTTAACGTCTGTGATTATGAAATGTTTTGAAAAGTGTATTGTGTCAATGTTAAAAGCAGAGGTTGCTAATCATTTAGATCCTTTACAGTTTGCCTATAGACAGGGGAGGGGAACTGAGGATGCTATTAGCAGCATTATGCACCTGATTCTGAAGCATTTAGAGAGTCACAAAGCCTATGCCCGTTTACATTTTATTGATTTTAGCTCTGCTTTTAACACCATTCAACCGCCCTTGTTAATCTCAAAGATGGAGCAGCTCAGTGTAAGCCCAGCTATCATAAAGTGGTACTTATCTTTTTTAACTGATAGAACTCAGCGTGTTAAAGTAAACAATTGTCTTTCACAACAAACGAACATTAGCACAAGGCTGTGACAGTTCACCAATTCTTTTTACTCTTTTTACAAATGAATGTTCAAGTAAGCATTCAAAAAACTATATTTTTAAATATTCAGATGACACAGCCATCTTAAGTCTACTCTATGGAGACGATTATATAGGAAACATCTACCAGCCAGAAATAAGCCGGTTCGTCGATTGCTGGGATAAAAATTATTTAATAATAAATATAAAGAAAACAGAGGAGATTATATTCGATCCAAAATGTATAGGTGACCATCGTCAAGTGGTCATACATGATAAAAACATTCCTTTGTTCCTGTATCTGTACGAATGCTGAATAACAGCTTATCTTATTAATTTTAAATTAGTAAATTTACACTAAATTTAAAATAACACTTTTTATATGTATATGCAGCAACATGTAGTCCAAAACAAATTTCCTTTCGAGGACAATAAAGTATACAACTACTATTTTGTATGTATTTATTTATTTATTTATTTTTTCGTCAGGACCACTATCGTCAAATACGATTGACAATTAGCATACAGTTTGGATTGGCGGTATGGTTCCGTTCTGGGCGAGAACTCCCTGTGCATCCATGCATCCTAGCATGGATAAGAGCAGCAATAACCCCCTTAGGGTAAACAGAACAGAACCAACATGAATGTATTGCAGATATCATTAATTCAAGATTTTAAAATACAACATAATTCGAGAATTTATTGTGATTCAAGGGGAATCAGAATGCCAAATGTTGACTGGGCGAGAGGAGAAGCTGAGGATGGAGGAGGGTAATTAGCTCATGAGAAACGCGATAGCTGCTGATAATACTGAAGGAGCTTATATATGTATACAGTGATAGGTGTAGTGTTCCTAGTAGTGGATCAGCTGAGAGTCAGCTGATGCGAGCTTGACTAACGTGACCTGCCAGAACTGATGCTACGCTTGATATATATATATATATATATATATATATTAGGGCTGTCAGTTAAACGCGTTATTAATGGCGTTAATGCAAACCCATTTTAACGGCGTTAATTTGTTTATCGCGCGATTAACGGTCTTTTTGGCCTAGCAAACTTTGTAGTTTTTTTCACATGCTTTTGCAACAGGACGCGGCATGCGCGGCGCTGCGCTATGAAACCCATTCATTTTAATGGCTTGCGCCGCGCGAGGACGTTTTGAAAGCGCAAGCAGATCTAGCTAGACCGGAAACAAAACAACAGGCACCGGAAACACACCGCACACACTTGTTTGGGCTCGCAAGCCGGCCAAATAGTTGGTTAACGTTATGTTTTGAGTGGAGGACGAGAGCGAGACGCCGAAATGGATGCCAAAAAGATTCTGAATGGAAAGTTTAATTTTAAAAAGTTGCCAAATGGTTCCATTGACAAGACCAAAGTTATCTGTGTGTTTTGTCGTTGTGAACTGAGCTATCATTATCGCAGCAAGTACAGTCTGAAATACCACTTGATGATGGCTAAGTACACACACACAGCTGATGCGAATTCTCCACCCCCTCGTCAATATCAGGACCTCATCAGTATTTCTTTCACCCTTTTATTGATGGACAGTGTTACATTGTGTGAGAGATTATTTGCTCCAATTGAGAATGTTAGTGTGAAATTGAACACAGTATATGCCAATGTTGTTTTCAATAAAAAAAAAAACATTTGCACAAATTAAGCCGATCCACTTTTCCATGTTGATAAGAGCATTAAAATGAGAAAAAAGAATAGGACAAAAATAAATCAAGAGACATTTAGAATAGATAAAAATGTGCGATTAATCGCGAGTTAACTATGACATTAAAGGTATTGTAGGTAGGAATTTTATAAAAAACTTTTTTCCAAATTTGTTTAAACTTTCTGTATATATCAATGCATAATTAAAATGTAAGTACTCTGATAAAAAGAGTATAAAAATCAAGTGACTCTAGACCGTTTAATCTGCACTAAACACAGCTCATTATTTCCATCCGGGACGAAACAAAGGATTGGCTTAGGCGACTGTCACTCTCTCGCAACCATGGCAACCACCCTTTTGCCACACAGGACCTGCCCACTTGAGCGTATCCGTTTGATTTGAGGAATTCAAGAGGCACGGAACCTAGGAATAGCAAAACAATGGCAGACAAAGACCAATCAAAATTCACATATGCAGTTCGCGAAGGCAAACCAGGCAAAAAAAGGAAGACAGTAACATTACTAGAAAAGGTAATGAACAAAAAGTCTTTGGATAAACAACGAAATAAAACGCGTGTCAATATCGCCGTGGCTTTCCAGCGATGGCGAGAACTGAGAGACCTCAAGGGGCTGAAAAGTGACGCCTTGTGACGACCTCCTCTGCTTCGCCCTCGACCCCGGATCTGTCCTCGAGCTGACGATGCGGTACTTGTCTCTGGAGTGTAGTCCTCATCAGAGTCGACAATGCTTTCATCATGGAAACTCTTACATGCAGAACACCATATATGTTATGAATGTTACACGAAATTCATCTTCATCACAGTGTAAATGATGGCAATGGAAAAACGTGTATCATGCAACCTGTTTTTAGCTTTGCCTTATAGATAACTAGCTCGTTAGCGAATCAATAAATATATATTTTAAACTTTACCAATATCAATATGCTAGCTTGATAGTGAGTACTAAAATACATCTTATTTGTTTATCTTCATAATGATAAAGTTAGATTTTTTTATTACATGTGATTCTGACATGATGTCACTACATGCACTGCGCTCCTTCCTCTCCGCTCGTCTCAGGTAAATAATGCGTCTTCAGCTCAGCGGCCGGAGTCGCGCGTTCATGTGTTTTTGGGGCGTGGCTTTGGAAGGAGCCCAGAAGGGAGGGGGTGGAGTGAATGGAAATAATGAGCTGTCTTTAAAACAGTCGTGAGAGGTCTACAGACACTCGATTTTTATACTTTCTTTTTCAGAGTACTTACATTTTAATTATGCATTGATATATACAGAAAGTTTAAACAAATTTGGAAAAAAGTTTTTTTATAAAATTCCTACCTACAATACCTTTAATGCGATTAAATATTTTAATTGTTTGACAGCACTAATATATATATATATATATATATATATATTAATTGCAAAGTTTATTTTATTTTGCTGTAGTTTACTGCGTATTGAAATATTTATATTTATAGCTTAAACAGCCTAGAACTTTGAGGCTACAGATAATCTACCTAAATGTTGGGGGCTCGTCCGGGATATTCCCAAGAAACACAAGGACTGAGAAGTCATCCTAAAACAAGTTGTTTGAAATATGTACTGTTTTAATAAGACTATTGTTGCCACTTTTACACAAATGCCTCAATACATATTATAAAAAAATAATTGAACTCCACAAATAAATGAGAAACATCCCTTCCTAAATCATTTTAAGGCAACACACTAGTTTTCTAAACTATTATTTTGACCTTCCCCAAAGGTTCCGCTTTGACAAACAATCAAACTTCACAACAAATTTTAGAAAATTATCCAGCTTTTGCTTAATATGAATGCCAAATTATTTACTTGTAAGTGTATTATTTGCGATTGATGGATCAGAACATGAACTTTGCTCATTAAATAAGATTGGGCAACGTTTTTTCTTATGAGTCCATAAATTAGATATTTGGATGAAACTCTTCCCACATGAAGAGCACTGGTGCGGCTTCTCTCCAGTATGAATTCTCTCATGATCTTTCAGGTTTCCTGACCAAGCAAAACTCTTTCCACAGTGTGAACACTTGTAAGGTTTTTCTCCAGTATGCATTCTCCCATGATCTTTCAAGGATTTTGAGCAAGAGAAACTCTTTCCACAGTGTGAGCACTTGTACGGTTTAGCTCCAGTATGAACTCTCTGGTGAGATTTTAAGGCACTGGATGTAATAAAGGTCTTCCCACAGTCAATGCAACAATGAGGTCTCACACCAGTATGAATACGCTCATGCTGTTTTAAAGTGTGCAGTTCAGAAAAACCCTTCCCACAAAAAGAACAAACATGAGGTCTCACACCAGCATGAACTTTAAGGTGTGCTCTTAAGCCTGATGCCAAAACAAAAGTTTTATCACACTGATCACAGCTGAATGATCTCAATCCAGAGTGAGAGAGCAGATGATTGTTGAGAACGCTTTTGTAAGTGAAACTCTTTCCACACTGAGAGCATGAGAATGGTTTTTCTCCAGTGTGAATTCTCATGTGCACATTTAGGTGTCTTTTATGAATGAAACTCTTTCCACACTGAGTGCATGTGAACAGATTTTCTCCTGAGTGAATTCTCATGTGCACATTTAGGTGTCCTTTATGAATGAAACTCTTTCCACACTGAGTGCAGGTGAATAGTTTTTCTCCAGTGTGAATTCTCATGTGTCTCTTAAGGTCTGGTTTATGCATGTAACTCTTTCCACACTCAGAACAGGTAAAAAATCCTTTGACTCCAGATTTTCCAGCTTGTTTTTGTGTGAAATTCTCTTCTGTCTTTGAAACGACTGCATTTTCATCTTCATTTTTGAAATGATGAGGTTTTGGAAACAGATGTTGATTGTCTTCATTTTTATACGTCAGTTTTCCATCTTCATTTTTTACATGAGTTTTTTGAAATGTATATGGTTTGTCTTCATTCCCTTCCATCGTGTCTAAAATCAACATATCAAATTCCCAAGATTATATTAAAGAATGACAAATGAGAAACAAAGAAATACAGTTCATTCTAAATTTAGCACAAATCTTGTTTACTACTAAAGGCCTCATTATGCTTCTGCGTCAACTCCACGGCGTAGCTACGCCGTCACTCCTACGGCGTCGTGGCCGTTTTATGGTTCTGCGTCAGGTTGCGTTGCATCGCGGTGCATTTCACCGCCAGAACGCTAGGGGGGTGTGTGCTTCGCGAATCTCTTTGCTAGTTTGTTTTGGTTCCGTGCGCCGGTTCCGCTTTCGTTTCCATTACCCTTCAAATTGCGCAAATTGAAATTGCGAATTGAAAATACGCATAATGGAACCACGTCCATTTCGCATAAACTCCCGTTTATCGCAAAAAAGATTTTACGCTCGCATGAGGAGGTTTTTCAGGCAATTCGAAAAAGGAATATTTAGCAAAACTGCAATGGAAGGTTTTGCGTATTTACAGTCACCTGACTTAGAAGACGCAGTGTGTTTGGGGTCCGTCTCCGCAAATAATAATAATAATTATCATCATTATTATAACATTTATTAGGCTACATGTAGAAGACGCTTTTATCCAAAAAAGGAACAAAAGCAATTTGTCACATCTCATTCAAAATACAGGTTGAACAATAATAATACGGGGCTAAGATTATCAGAAATAAACACAAGATTTTGACGCATATCCAAGTGTTTGTGCGGAGCGCGCACTGGATGGCAGGGATAGGCGCGCTAGCGCGAACACTTGCATTTTCCTATCAACAGTGGAAACAACTTAAAATACTCTATCATTTCTGGTCATACAGAAAATAATAATACATAATTCGCAACTACTTTTATTTGCGTAAACTCACAATAACAAGAAAACGTTGTGGTTTTGTAAAATAAAATAAAACAATCAGGCGCGCTTTCATGGTCTCCGTGAACTGAAGCGCGAGAACTGAAACAAAATATAGCCTCTGTAGGCTAAAGCTTGAAATGTCCACTTTAAAACGAACAAATTCGAATCGAAAGCTAATACCTTCTGATTATGTAATCCGTATGAAAGGTGCATTTCTCTTTAAAGGTGCATCTGGAGATGGAGATATGTTTTTAGCCGACATTGATTTAGAAAATAATAGTTTATTAATAAACAATTAAAATGCCTCGTTATTTTTTCAGACACATTTATTATAGCCTATAACTCACCTATAAATCACCTTTCTGTAGGCTGTGGTTATGGTCTTCTCATTCAGCACTGCAGAAAAAATAAAAATTTCCAGGTTCTAATTTGGCCTTAGAAAACCAGTAAAATCTACATTTTTTCCATATTAATTTGTGAATATTTTAAATGTTTACTAAAGGAGCAAAAAATCATAAACAAATAGGCTATCTTAAAATTCGTCGATATTTTTTTTTTTTTTCGCAGCATTTGGTGTACAGTTCAAATTAAAATTTTGGTGTTTAACTTTGCATTTTAAAAAATACAACAACCGTTCATTTTTCGTTTTGCAATTACAGGTTAAATAAGGGAAAACGAATGGACACAAAAGTAGGCTACACTGACCGTTTGGAATTAATACGAGACAGAGTTCTTTATTAAATTCATAAAAGAAACAATAATTACAGGAATAGCCTACTGGACTCTAAACCTCAAAGAAATGCCACAATCAAGACCTCGGAGCAGAAATGAGGGAGAACTCCGTGTCTTTCCCTGCCATCAATGCTTGGATAACACACCACGTCTCCTTCCATTAATAATAATAATGTCTAGTGCGGTGGCTATAGTGACACAAGGTATACATCTTGCTTTTGGAAACATTGGACCCGAAGCCTGTATATGTTCTATAAATGATGCCTCATCCGCATCATTCTTAATTGTTTTTACATTTATATCTGTACTGTGTTGTCTCTATGGACCTCTTGTGTCTTGAATAAAAGTTGATATAGCTAGGCTATAACGTTAAGATTTTTGGAATGGCTTATGGCGAGAGGAAAAAAAGACGTTTTAGTCGCATAACATCGGTTAATGGAAACGCCATCATTTCGCAATATTTTTTTATCGACATATAGAAAAAAAAAAAATCGCAAAAGTTTTGCGCAAATCTGTAATGGAAACGCGCCTAATGGCGAGTGAAAGAGAGAGAATGTTGTTTCAGCTGGAGCTAATCGACGTTGAACAACAAATTATTTTATTGCAAATGTTTAATCGCAGAAGAATCAAACGTTCCTCAACTTGATATTGTTAAAACAAACAGTGCAGTGGTCACTTTAAAAATGGCGGTATAGCGGGAGGGGGAAACCGGAAAAGCTTCACTCCCGAAATGATGTATCTGACCAATCACAGCCCTTGTGGTCTGCGTCGCCTCGACGCATAGTTACAATTTTTTGGAGGTGCACGTTGAGCTACGGCGGAGGGGTCGGAGAGGGGTTCGGGCGACGCAGAGAGGTCTGCGGGGGTACGCCGTCGATTCGACGCAGAAGCATAAAACAGGCTTAAGTCAACTAGTATCTAGTTTGAGATGTATTGTTATATCCTCCTGAGAACCAGAACTTTATTTGTGTCTGAATTTAATTCATGTCATTACACTTTTTGGAGAATCCAGTTTAAAACATAAAAAAAATATATATATGTCCTCTTTAAAGGGGTTCTATTATGCCTTTTCACTTTTTTCACTTTAGAAAGTGTTAAAAAAAATCTGCAAGGTTGCAAAGCTCAAAGTTCACTCCAACGGGAGATATTTTATTAAACAAAATTCACTTTCCAAGAACTACAACGCGTTTTTATGGGGCTTTGTGAAGTCATAATATTCCTCACTTAAATAATTTACGCCCACGGAATACAGGTTGGTTGAGCTACATTAGAGAAAACAGTGATGTCAAAGAGACGCTGTTTTTTTCACCCCGTTTCCAAAAACTCATTTGTTTAACCTTCCTAAGGCAGATGAACAAAAGCTTCTCCTGAAATGGATCACAACTTGTTATTATGTCTTATATGTAGTTGTGTTTTCTTTTAACATTTCCAATTATATGTTTTATGTAGTCGCTATGATATAGGCTTGCTACGATAGTCGGTGTTGACAGTAGCTGCGTTTACATGGACACTTATAATCGGATTGACAGCTCAATCGGACTAAAAAACCTTCATGTAAACACCTTAATCGATCCGACTGAGCTCGATCCGATTGGAATTTCGATCGGATTGAAAGGGGTGGTTTACTCCTTTTGTAATCCGATCGACAGAACATGTAAACACTTGATTTAAAACCGAAACTGAAAGGACTGCGCATGTGCAATGACGTTGAAATAGCGTAATGACGTATGACTCACGGAACGAGCTGTTCTTCCTGTTGGATAAAGTGTCTTATAAATGAGTTTCCCGATATTCTAAAATTCTAATTTCACTCAGCGTGTGTAAAGTGGAGCAGGACAATGTCCCTCCAGTCCTTGTTTCAGATTATCATCCAGGGACAACTGGTTCTGAGCGCGGGGTTTTACTGCGTGATAAATATAAGCAGCACGGCACACCGGTTCATGCTCATCGTCTCCAAATTATGACCAGAGACTTAGTTCTGTTAGAGAACAGACACTACAATTAAAAACTGAACGGTGTCTGCTTAATAAATCGTGAGCTGTACGAGAGTCGTAGCACAGATCAACAGCAGGAGTCAGATTTAATTTATCATGAGAGTGAGGAGCTGACGATGATGGCGAAATATTTGGTGTCAAAGCGAAATGTAAAAGCACCTATAAGCGAATTTGTCATTGTACTGTTTTTAATTGTGTTTTTCATTAAGAATAATAGGCTAATGAACTCACCGTTCAAGCAATCCGCCCCCGAATTGGCGCTCATTTGAAAGCAAAACTAAAATGCGCACGGCCCTACGTGTTCACGGGCGCGGAACGAGCAGAACAGAACTCTGCTCCGCATCATTATGAATGCACGTGCGGACGCGCGCATTTAACTTTCGCCTTTAAATTACCGATTAAAAGCCCCCACCGGTGATACCAGTATTACCGGTGTTGTCAAGTCAAGTCACCTTCATTTATATAGCGCTTTTAACAATATAGATCGTTTCAAAGCAGCTTTACAGTGATAATAGGAAATTAAAGTAACAGAGATTGTTTTGGCTTTACAGCAGCTCTAGAATAAAGTTACTGTCCAGCTAAAGTTAGTTTTGATTGATTTACTTCCGTCCAACGGTCATTAGTTATTAACTTAGGGGTTAATATTCTAGTCTGTCCTTTTTTTTTTAATTATTGGCATGGGGGACTTTCCATAAGATCATCCCTCAATGCAAATCAAACCAGCTACAGTGGTGTGAAAAAGTGTTTGCCCCCTTCCTCATTTCCTGTTCCTTTCCATGTTTGTCACACTTAAGTGTTTCGGAACATCAAACCAATTTAAACAATAGTCAAGGACAACACAAGTAAACACAAAATGCAATTTGTAAATGAAGGTGTTTATTATTAAAGGGATAGTTCGGCCAAAAATGATATTTAACACATGCATTACTCACCCTCAAGCCGTTCGAGATGCATATGTCAATCTTGTTTCAGACGAACACATTTTCAGTTATTTTAGAAAATGTCTTAGACCCTTCAGTGGATATAATGTGAAGCAATGGGGTCCACCTCCTTCAAGTCCCAAAATGTGCATATATCCTTCACAGAAGTAATCCATCCGGCTCCAGGGGGATAAACAAAGGCCTTATGGGGGTAATCCGTGCGGTTTTGTCGTAAAAATATACATATTTAAAACTTTATAAATGAAAATATCTGACTTCCGGCAACGATCGACGCGCGTTCACGGGTGATGGAAGTCGGCGTACGAGGTATGACGTAGCGTAGGAACCGTCGTGACGTAGAACAAACGCGCCTGCGCAGCCAGAGTGCAGAGCAAAACAAAACTACACTCAGTTCACCCGTGAACGCGCGTCGATCGTTGCCGGAAGTCAGATATTTTCATTTATAAAGTTTTAAATATGTATATTTT